AAAAAAAAAAAAAAAAAAAAAAAAAAAAAAAAAAGAGATCTCTCATAAAAATGAGCAGTATTGTGGGTTGTTTCACACAATTATAAAATGTTGTGGACTGAATTGCTGCTGCCCTGATGTGGGAATGACACCCAGTGCAGGATCCCAGCTCTGCAGGAAGGGATGGATCCAATCCCATGGGGCTGCACCTTTAGTTTCTCCATATTTTAGGGCTGCTATGTAGAAATTTGAGTTTGCTGGAGGTGTTTCTTTGTTAGAAAATATTTTCTAATCATACCAAAGCATTTAAGGGAGGGTTCCATGAAAAATTGTTGGTACAGAGCAATGCATTGACAGTGGCTCCTAAAATCCTGATCCTCTGGGTGTTCCCCACCAATCCTTTTGTGCTTTTTAACATAGCTTATGACTCATTCAAACACTCATGCTTAAGCTTGTCCTATTCCTGAACCTAAAATTCTTTTTTTTTTTATTACAAGAACTCTTTAGATAGTCCTTTATTGGATCTGAAGATCTCACAAAAACTGAGAGAGGCTGCAGCTCATCTGGGCTCACCTTTAGGTGTACCCACTGCAGTCCCAGGGGAATCAGAGCTTTGAAGATGTGTCCTTGCTTGCTTTGGTCATGGCCAACCAGAAAATTTAACTTTGGCATTGGACTGATGCCTGGAAAAGCCAGAAGATGTCACAAGTATGGCTTGGGCTGCTTCCTTCTCTGGCATTCTCAGCCATCAAATGGCCACAGCTGTGTCCAAATACAATCCAAATTTGTCCTCACTGCCAATGCTGTGACATCTTTTGGTGATCTCTCAGGTTCTCCTTTGGGTTTGTAACCAAGCCCAGGTCTCTATAATGCGGCAATGCTGATGATGCTTCACATGTCCCCTGGTCTTTCCAAACCTGAAGGTTCTACTTCCTGCTTGAAGCAAAATTTAGGAGCATGGTGTCCAGCAAATGGGTGGAATCAGGCAGAGAAGCTCAAATTTTCTTTACAAGTTACACAAAAAGGATGGGTAAAGGAATAAAACATCCACACTCAGCTCTGTGTTGTCAAGGCTGAGCAGTGTCACGACACACTGTGCTACAAGTCTATAATATTGTAATTAGGAGTCTTAATCACACACAGCTGGATAAATGTCATTAATTTAACATCCCGAGTTTTTACGCTTAAATATTTGTTCAGAAACTGCAGAAAGTATTAAATGTAATTACAGCCCTCTATAATTTGCATGGTAAAATTGTAGCTATCAAGCAAAAATTACTTCTGCTAAAAACAACATGGTAAGAGAGCAATTATTAATTGAATCTGCTCTTTAAAATGGTTTGACAGGCACTGATGAAAGACAGAGGAATGTAATGATAGTGAGATTTCTGAAATTCCTCTCAGAGCAAATTGCTGACAGGACACTTTTATATCAGTGTCCTGATTTTGGGTGCAGAGTCTGGGTGTTTCAGTGATAAAATAAACCATGATCAACATTTTTTTAAGAGAAGAGAGTAGTTTATCA